GCCACATGCTGCTGTTTGCAGCCAGCTTCAGACACACATGTTCTCCACCTCAGCAGCCTCGCTGCTCTCTACAGACACACAACAGTGCAACAAGACATGTGGTCTTCAGCCAGAGCAGGAAGACCAGCAGGAGGAGGAGGAGGAGGATGAATGTGGGGCAGAAACCAGGGAGGGAGGAGGAGGAGGAGGAGAAAAACCGGTTTCCAATAGAGACGGATGATTTGTAGGTAACAGTTGTTTGCTTCAGCCTGAGGCCTGCAGAGCTCCTGCTGCAGGTCTGAGTCCACAAACTGCTGCTGTACAGGAGACTACACAACTACACAGNCAAATCGTTCAAATCGCGCTGCTCTAATCGCGCTTGAGGCGCCGCAGAACTTCCCGACGTTGCTTGAGGCGCGTCCACCATAGACTTTGTATGTAAACCTGCTGCTCCTGACGCTGAAATCGCGTTTGGTGTGAACGCACCATAAAACATGAGTTATTTAAGTGTTTTATGTTCAATTATGACCAATAAAATCAACCCCAGAGGATCTGAATGTCCTGACGCGTCTCATTGTGTCACATGACTGGTTGTTTACCGCCTGGACTGCTGTGTGTCACTAAAACACAAACCTGTCTCCTCTCACGCTCAGAGGACTCGTGCCCTGAAGGCTCCATCGACCTGAAGTGTAAAGAGAGAGTGACCGACAGTGATGAAGACGAAGCTGACGGACAGGTTAGAGCTCGTTAGCCACAACCCACCACCTCTCATAGAAAACTTCAGCTTTTTATTTTTCTGTTCCTTTAACTCCTTCTGCACACCCTGCTTTTTTAGCTGTTTGTTAAAGCGTTCGGCTTGTTCAGCAGATAGCTGATGTGACTGTTTTTTTTATTCTTTTCAAAATATTTAAGTTGAATTACAAAAAAAAAATCCTGTTGAAATACATTGACATGTCTTCTGTTTGTTTAAAATCATCATTATTATTATTATTATTATTATTATTTATTTGTATTCTTTAAAATCTGTTTCGGCAAACTGGATCTGTTTTTATCTTCTAATGCTACTTTAAGCTATTCTTTTTTTAGCTTTAGCTAGCTGTTATAGCTATTTTTCTATACTTTTAGCAACTAATTTGTTTCTTGCTACTTTTCGCTACCCTGTTGCTACTTTAGATTTTAGCAAGCTGTTTTTATTTTAGCCTTCAACATGGCTCTGTTAGCATTTAACTAGTAATCTTTTGCTACTTTTAGCTTTTAACTGTCATTTTATTAGTTTTAACATTCAGCTCGTCATTTCAACTTTTACCATATAGTTGGCCTTTGCTTCTGTTAGCTTTTAGCTAACTTTCTAGTTGGCCTTTGCTTCTGTTAGCTTTTAGCTAACTTTCTGCTACTTTTGGTCTTTACCTAGTCTTTTGCTATGTTTAGCTATCCTATCTTTAGGCTTTAGCTAATTGTTTGCTACTGTAAGCCTTTAGCTATCTTTATCTTGCTACTTTTATCTTTTTGTTACCACTTTGCTACTTTTAGCTAATTGTTTGCAACTTTAGTCTTTAGGAGTCTTTTAGCTACTTCTAGCCTTAGCTACCATTCTATTTTAACAAATACCTGGCCTTTTGCTACTATCAGCTATCAGCTTTTAGCTAACCTGCTGCTACTTTTTGCATTCAGTTTGCTCTTTGCTATTTTTAGCATTTAGCTAGCCTTATTGTACTTTAGGCATCTAGCTACAAGTGAACTACTTTTAGCCTTTAGCTGACTGTTTAATAATTTTGTTCTCAGATACTATTCTACTAGTTTTAGCATTTAGCTAATATTTTACTACTTTAAGCTTTCGGATAGCATTTTGAGACTTCTGCCACTCAGTTAGCATGTTGTATCTTATAGCTTTTAGCTGATATTGTGCTTCTTTTAGCTTCTCAGACACAGTTAAAGTCGTTCAGCTCTGTAAAAATGCAGTTTCTTTAGTTGTTTGTTTGTTTTAGTGTTTTTTTCACTACATTTTTTCAGATTTGACTTGGTTTATATCAAAGTGATCAGATCTTTTTTATCAGCTGAAGTTTTGCTCGTGGATCAGTTTTTACAGTAAATCCTCTGAGAGGTCATTATAAAACATAATAAAAGTAAAAACCTGTTTCTTTCTTTGATCTCTGTTCATCTGTCCTCCCTCCAGACCTGCCTCCAGCCTGAGACTCCCCCCTCCTCCTCCTCCTCCCCCTGCGCCCCCCGCTCCGACTCCCCCTCGCCTAAAGGGAACGGAGAGGGAGGAGGCGCCGAAGACGTAGCTGAGGCGACGAAGAGGAGAGACGAGGAGCAGAGCCAAGGAGGAACAGGAAGAGAGGACCCGGCGGGAGGTGGAGGAGGCGGGCAGAGCACCCCCCAGGTCCTGGGGGGGGTCCGCATGGCTCCCACTGCGGTGACCAACGTGGTGCGTCCCGTCGCCAGCACCCCCGTCCCCATCGCCAGCAAGCCCCCGGAGGGCGCCATCACCCTCAGCTCGCTCCCCCAGGAGAAGGCCACGCTTCCGATGGGAGGAGGCGGAGCTCAGCACCTGCCAATCGCTGCAGGGGGTGGGTACCTGTCCTCATCCTCCCCCCCCGGTCCAGTGGTCACTAGCCTAGTCCTGGGGGGGTCCTTCCCCACCTCCCAGACGCTGCAGCTCATCACCCCTCACCCCCAAACTCACCCACCCATCCTGCACCCCACCTCCTCCCTCACCCCTCAGGTGCAGTACGTCCTGCCCACCGACAGCCCCGCCTCCCCGCAGCTCACCCACCAGCACCTCCTCCCCCTCCCCACCAATGGCGTGCAGCCGGGGGCGGGGTTCAGAGCCAGCCCCGGGACCAGAGGTGAGACAGGAAGTGACGATCAGCTGACAGAAAGAAGCGTTTCTGGTCGACGGTTTCTCAGATTAATTTTTAAATCGAACAGTTTGGATAAAATGATGGAGTATTAGGGCCATACAACAAGATTATTTTTATAATTATTACGAGATTAAAGTCCTAATTTTATGAGAATAAAGTCATATTATTATGAGATTAAAACTTTGTTATGTTATGACTTTAATCTCGTAACATTATGACTTTATTTTTATATGACTTTAATGTCGTAATATTACGACTTTATTTTTATATGACTTTAATGTCGTAATATTACGACTTTATTTTTATATGACTTTAATGTCGTAATATTACGACTTTATTTTTATATGACTTTAACGTCGTAATATTACGACTTTATTTTTATATGACTTTAATGTCGTAACATTACGACTTTATTTTTATATGACTTTAATGTCGTAATATTACGACTTTATTTTTATATGACTTTAATGTCGTAACATTACGACTTTATTTTTATATGACTTTAATGTCGTAATATTACGACTTTATTTTTATATGACTTTAATGTCGTAATATTACGACTTTATTTTTATACGACTTTGTAGTAATATTGTGACTTTAATCTCATAATATTACGACTTTATTTTTATACGACTTTGTCATAATATTGTGACTTTAATCTCATAATATTACGACTTTATTTTTTTATGACTTTAATGTCGTAATATGACTATTTTTATAAGACTTTAATCTCGTAAATTACGACTTTAATGTTGTAATATTATGACTTCATTTTTATGACTTTAATGTCGTAATATTACGACTTTATTCTCGTAATTTAAAAAAAATCTTGTGTGGCCCTAATAATCTGTCGTAGGGTAAAGTTTGTCCAATCAAAATAAATAAATATTTTTAGTAGAAAGCCACGCTGCTGTAATCACAGCATCATGAGGTTTAATATTATTACGTGCACCGTCTCCTCACGGCCCACTCACACCACCTGAACCACCTGAACCACCTGAAGTGTCCTCTCCCTCTCCGCCTGTCCTCTGTCTCCGCTCTGAGACGCTCACGTCTCCTCTTCTCTCTCTCTCTCAGTCCAAACCCAGTCACCGGTCCTGCCGAGCAGGATGCTGGTTCCCATAGCAGCAGTGAGAACAGGGTCTACGCCTCCTCAGCCTTCCATCTCCCTGGTGGCTCCGCCTCTTCCTGTGCAGAACGGGCCTGCAGCAGGAAACAAGGTGAGAGCGTGGAGAGGCTTCCTGTTTGCCGACAGGTGTTTCTCTGTGCGATAATTCTCACCCTGCGCTCGGCTCTCCTCAGCAGATCATCCAGATCGCTCCCGTGTCCGTGGTGCAGGCCGGCGTTCATCCTGCCGGCGCCGCCGCCATGCATCCGGGGGGTCCCTTCCCTGTTTCCGTGGCGACGGTGATGACTCCCGGTGCCGCCCCTCCGCAGACGGTCCTCCTGACGTCCCCGCCTGCCAGGTGACTGACACACACCTGTAGTTACAAACGATCATGTGACCAAAAGTCCATTAACAAACATCGGTCTCCGTCCAGGATCACCCACGTCCAGTCCAACCCCGCTGTTACCATGGCGACGGCCCAACAAGGCACGCCGCCCCCAGGCCCCGCCTACCTCCCGTCGCACCTCGCCACCCTGGGCTTCGCCGCCATCGCCCCGTCCGGACAGACCCTGGTGCAGCCGCTGCTGGCTCAGGCTCCGCCCCTCAGCTGTCAATCACAGACCCCGCTGGGTCCAGCAGCAGCGACCGCCGGCCGTCAGGTAACGATAACCAGAAACCTGCAGGGATGTTTTTTTTCTTACGCCACAAATAAAACACTGAACCTGCCC